CACACACACACACACACACAAATAAATAAAATTTTTAAAAAATCAAAACTGCTATTTGAAAGACATTTAAAATGAAACAAAATAAAGTTAAATTAGAAAAAAATAAATAAATAATAAAACTGAAAGACATCAAGTGATGGACTAGGAGGAAATATCTGTAAAATATATACCTGATAAAGTATTTTAACTATAATACATGAAAATCTCACCTCAATGACAATAAAACATACAACCCAATAAAAAATGAACTAGAAAGCCAAGCAGACATATCTTTAAAAAAAAAAAAAAAAAGATATATAGATGGCAAGTAACCACATGAAAAGATGTTCAAATTAGGTAGGTATAAAAAAAAAAATTGGACTAGGAAGATAGCCCAGCAGCATAAGTGCCTGCCTGGCAAGAGCAAGGTCCTGAGTTCGATCCCCAGAACCACATGTCATGCTGGCCCCAGAACCCTGTGTGGTGGTGCAACCCTGTAATCCCAGCACTGGGGAGGCTAAGACAGGAGGATCACCATGAGTCTGAACTGCACAGCAAGACCCTGTATCAAAAATAAATAAAATAAAATAAAAATAAATACAAACATACTAGATCACCACACAACAGAATTGCTACAATACAAAAGAAATACCACATGTGTGGAGATATGCAGCAACTAAAGCCTCTGTGTTAGAAAGAGCACAAAGTGGGAGAGCCACTTTAAAAAAACAGGTTAGTAGTTTCTGACAGAGTGAAACATATACTTAACATATCATCTAACCATTCTACTCATAAGTGCGTTCCCAACAGAAAGTGCACTGCCTTGCGGAGAATGCTCACAGTCACTCTATTTCTAACAGCATCAAATGGAAACAACATAGCTATCTACGAACAAGTGAGTGGGCAAACCATGGGCCAACCTACTCAGAGAAAGATGACTGCTCAGCAAAACAAAGCGATGGACTACTGGTACACACAGCATGAGTTAGCTGTTAGACACTAATAATGAGCTGTAGTAACCAGTTCTGTCTGACATGCATGTCTAGAAAATGGAGATTCATCTCTAGAGCCAGAAAGCAGATACTTGGTGGCCCAGAAAATGTTGAGACAAATGAAAGGAGAGACGATAAAGTAGCACATGGAAACTTCCGATAATAATGGATCTGCTCATTATCTTGGCCGTGGCGGCTCTGTAGGTGTGTATATTTATCAGAACATACCGAATTGTACGCGTGAAACACAGGTGCCAAACTGTTACATGCCAAACTGTTATTTATATAAAGATGTTCTGAAAACATGAACACTACATGAGTAACAATGAGCTACCTTAATTGGTTCCGCAGTTTCAAGATTCACTGTGTGAAAGAGAAGATTATTTCTCCAAGAAAAATGAAGAGTTCATTTTGCAGAAACTCACCTGGTGATAGTGATGTGTGGTCCGTATGAAATGCAGGTACATGTTATACACATAGTTCGCCATCTGGGGCATGTTCTTCACTATCTGTACTTCTTGAGATGGTCTTTCACCATTCTAGAAGAAGGCAAACTACAGTTACATATCCATATCCACTGAAAAATGCTAGAAACCAACATGGAAGTCTGTTTCTCTTTTCTTAAATGTAAGCAACACTAACATTTGAGGGTGTAAGAATAGTACGAGGACATACATAAGATCCAAGTGTGAGGATTTAGTGTTTTATGAAGAGTACAAGCTCCATTTATTTATTTATTTATTTTTAAATATTTATTTATTTTTATTTATTACATCTATTTATTGTGTTTGTGTGTGTGGCCAGCTCAGCCCACCAGGGGGCGGGGCTGGCTGGCATGTGGTGCTGGAGGATTGAACCGGGGTCCCTGTGTTTTGCCAAGCTTGTTTCAAGTAGGTGCTTTAGACTACTGAGCCATCTCTCCAGCCCTACAAGCTCCATTTAAATTAAGAAACATTACAGACTAGGAGAGGTACCAGTCTCTGTATACTAGTTTTATAACAATTTTGGATTGGTAAGTGAAAAGTGGACCTTAGTTTATTACTAACACCAAGTCATTTGAACAGAGAAAAAACATCAAGATGGCCTAAAGTAGCAGTTTCTAATGTTGGGTGTATTTCAAAGACAGCACACAAGATAATGCAGAAAAAAAAGACTTCCTATTTGTGGCTCTAACATGTCAGAAGCTAACATGTATTATTATTATTCAACATGTACACTATTGATAAATATTTAAAAAGCATTTTTTTGCAGTCAAGGTGTCACTATGTAGTATAGGTTGGCCTCAAACTGGCATTCTTCCTGCCCCAGCCTGCGTGCTGGGAAAAGGTTTGGATTCCCATGCTGGGAGTTCCTTTTGTTTTTTCAGTATTTAGGACAGGGTCTACAGGATCTATAGGGTCTCACTACATAGACTGGACTCATAGTGATCCTCGTTTTCAGCCTCCCAAGTGCTAGGATTACAGGTGCGTGCCACCACGCCCAGTCTCAATCGCCACCTCATCACATCTCAGGGGTGGGGCCCCCAGGGATCTAACCCCAGCTGTGCTTTGCCTAATCAGGTGTTTGAGTCTGACAGGCATTCCTTTTTAACGTCAGTGTTAACCAGAATCATCTGGGAAAAAATCTAATTGCAGATCCCTGGGCTCTGGCCTCCCTAAACTTAACAGGTCTGATAACTAAGATCTTGTGGAGCAGTTTCTGTTAACATGAAAAATCTGCTCTCATGGTGTAAGATGGTAAAGTAAATGAAGGAAACACAAAATGTGTATTACTTTTTTACAATACAGATAAACAGCTTTCCTACTTAAAGTCATTAATAAAACCTCTTCTTACTGTACAGATCAATTCTGAAAACAACAAAGGTAAAGAAAAATATATGGTAAGACAAAAGATTTTACAAGTAACCAATTACTTAATAACCAGTTTACAGAATGTTAAGGACTGCAGAGCTATAAGATGGTGTACAAAAGTGCAGAGCTGACCCCTCCTCTTATTTCTCCACCCTTTCCTATTTGTCAGAACAGGGCTTCCTAAAATGAAAACAAAAAATGCAGTAAAAAAAAGTATTTACCATTATTCTAAAACAAACAAACACAGAGAATTTATCTTATGTTTTAAGGGGTGTAAGAAGTAAAATTTTCCCTTAAGTTCTTAGTTAAAAAATTTTAATGGAATTTCTTAACCTTCATAAAAGAAAGAAAACTGTAGGGCCAGTGAGATAGCTGAGCAGACTAAGCATACATAGGCAAGCACAGGAACTAGGGTTCGATCTCCAGTACCACATGCCATGCCAGTCCCAACCCCAGGCACGCTGAAGCAGTGAATGAGACTGGGCGTGGTGGCACACACCTGTAATCCTAGCACTTGGGAGGATGTAAACAGGAGGATCACTGAGTCCAATCTGTGTAGTGAGGCCCTGTAGACCATGTACTAAATACAAAAACAAAAACAAAACAAAAAACCTGTAACAAAATAATATCTGCCTCTTTGTGCAAAAAAGGAACATAAGGATAAATTAGGAAAGAAAAAGACTGGTAGGTGGGGAGACAAGGACGAGGAAGCAGGCAGCTGCATGGCCACCTCTGAGCTTGTATGTTCTCCCCTTACCCGTTTCCCCAGAATGTGAGCTTCTTACAGGTAAATAGCTAAGTTCTCCTCACAAAGGTGAAGAGAAGAATGACACAGTGATTAGGAAAGTGAACCTCAGGCTGCCTGGGTTTTCAATTCTTTGAACCTCTGCTACCTACTGATGCACAGCCAGAGCTACTTCATTTCTCTTCAGTTTACTGATATATACAATAGGACTAATATGAAAACTTAACATACAGTTTTTGCTGAGATGAAATGAAATAATGTATGTAAAGAACTAGTTGTCTGATACATGGCAAGTACTTAATAATTGTTAGCCAATTATATTTTTTATGTAGAAAAATCTAATTGAGTTCCTTGTGTAAAAGAGATTCTACACCAGTGACAGTATCATTAGCTAATGTGTTACCTACAAGAGAATCCAAATGTCCCCCTCTGAGAATGCTACTGGATACCACAAAGAACTCTGTCCTACCTTTCTAGTGGTTGGGAAAGGTTCTGCTGGAATTATATGCAAATGAAGTGGACGAGCCGTGAGTTGGCTGAAAGCTGGAGTCAATTCAAAACAGTTTTGGAAGAGGGACACTCTAGCGAAGATATAGAGTCCAAGTCTAGCTCTAGACATGGCCACCACTAAGCGACGAACATCCCTTTGGAAAAAGCAAAATAATTAACACACTTCAAGAGTAATAGCATGTATGTGACTTATTTTTTCATGAATGTTAGGTTAATTACAATATGTAAGTCAGGTAGGACACTGTAACAGATGGATATGGACTTTTCTGTTAAATGAAAACACTAATGAACATAAACTACCCAGAAAAAAAAGGCAAACAAATGTTCACATCGAAACTGGAACATTCATGGCAGCATTAGTAATAGTCACAAAGTGGGGAAAACCAGTATGTATCAACTGTTAAATACATAAAATGTGATTCATGATACAATATTACTGAACAATAAAAAAGTTTGCACTATTGATATACCTTATCAATGAACCTTGATCACACTGAGGTAAGTGAAAAAAGCCAATAAAAACAAAATAAAACAAACTTTGCCCATATTGCCTGACCCTGTTTATATTAAGCATCCAGAACAGGCAAAGCTAGCAAATCAAAAAATATAACAGTAGATGCCAAGAACTGGGGCCCGCTTGCTACACATGGGTTTCTTGCTGGGGCAGTGAAAATGTTCTAACACTGATGTGACAGTTGGATAATACTGGGAATATCCAAAATCACTGAATTACACACTTAACTAGGCAAATTGTACGATAAGAAAATTATATTTCGATAAAGCTATCCTTAAAATAGGCTTCCTCGGTCCACTTAAAGACAAATACTTTCCTACTTATAAAAAGGAGGACATGAAAGATTAGGTTTACAATCTAACACATTCTATAAAAAATTTGATAAGACTCTATCTAAGATACTTAAAACTAAGCTACCAGGGCAACTGATAAGAACAGTAAGCCACAGTTATACCAACACATCCCCCCTGTGTTCTAACATCACCACCACTATCACCCCCAGATTTTCAAAAGGAAATTTTGACAAAGACAAAGATGAATTGAGATAAGGTATTTTTACTTAGAAAATTTTGATATGCAAGACAACCTTGAAACCTGGTTCCTTCTAAACTCTTCATTTATAAGCATTTTATTATCAGTTTCTTTTTCTTAAAAAGTTTTCAGAAAAATGAAAGAAAAAATAGCATAAAATCAAAGGAAAAGGTACAGTACTGTAGAATAAGAAAAAGGAGGAGGGAACAGTATTCATGTATGCATAATGTAAGCTTTTCAGAAATTTAAATTACATTACTAGGCCGTAATGATGGCCAATTCAGACATGAGTTATGTCATCAAGGAAAAGGAGCTACTTTTTGAGTCAGAACTTTATAATGCTTGACACTTCCAATAAATAGGCAAAAATGAACTATTTCATAATTTTTTATAAAGTTATAACCTTGAGAGAATTTTAAAAATTAGTATTTTTCACTTACCCTTGCATACAAGTTATCATTCTAATGGAATTTGATCAGTGAATTAAGCTTGAAATAGATCTTGACTTAATGACATTAAAAGCTTGTAGTATTTTCTTTTTATACCACCAAATAATACAATGAACTCTCCATACAGCTAGTAAGTCATATGAGATGAAGATTTATACAAAAATAAAATGATAAAAAAAATCACTGCCTGGGGGGCCGGGGAGATGGCTCAGTGGAATAAGCGCTTCCCTGGCAAGTGCAAGGGCCTGAGTTCAATCCCTGGTTCCGCCAAAAAAAAAAAAAAAAA